AGGCATAGAAAATTAACATTGTTCTTATTTGTTGACATCCACAACATGGGCAGCATAGTGTCAGTGAGCTGCATGGGTGAAAACTTTAGGTTTTGGTCTACTCTTGTGTGTTTTCAGCAGTGTAAGAATGCTAAATGTCACTTTTCCACTGCCAGTCCAGGGTAATGCATAGCAAAGTGTTTGTTTAATTTCTTGGAACAGAATGATGGATGTAAATATTTGGCATTTGAATCTTGGCTACTGAAATATAAAATTTAGAAGGATTGAATGTTTGACTGTGTTAACCTTAATTAAAATTAAGGCTGATTAATTTTGCTTTAAATTTGGCTCTGCATTTCTTTCCTAAAATGTCTTTCCTTTTCTTAAAGAAAAAAAGCTATTTCCAGTGCTGACAAATTGGAATTAGCTCAGTGAAGAGTGTAATGCAAGGCAGCAGGCATCGCTAATGTAAACTTTCCTTTCAACAGGCAAGGTGCTGCTTGTTGTAAGTGTAGCGAATCCTGGCTTGCTTCTTAAGAAGCTGCACAAAGCATTGATTATTTCTCAACACCTGTTAAAATGCTTTTATATCTTAAGTAGCATTACAGATTTCAAGAATACTTACTTTAGTAGAAAGCTTTTTAATGGTGTGGTTTTACATAGAGACCTTGTCTGCATTAAAGAAACCCAAACTTTAAGAGGTGCACTGGTGTAGTAATAGTTAAGCAGACTCTCCTGGTATGATACGTGGCCTGAGCCCCAAGATCAGCCTGGTCATTGCGCTGTCATCCTGCAGTTACATCTTAGCTCTGTTTTTGTGTTTTAGCATTTCTGTTTTCCCACCTGCTTGCTTTGTACACTTCTGCTAGCAAGTCAGAACTATAGTATTAAGTTTGCATTGAACAGATAGAAGTTGACTCCAAAACGTAAAGGCAGTTGAGAATGAAGGTCACTTTAAAGTGTCCTTATCTGCCAGAAGCAACTGAATCTCTGTGTTTGGAACCGAACAGCTTTCTGATCTTTGTTCTGTAATCATATTTATAGAAAAATGGAAAACTGTGGCCAAGGCTAGCAATCACATGCATCACAGCAGCTTTTAATAGCTACATCTGGAAACTTACCTTGCAAGTGGAGTGGTTTGTCTCCACTCAGGTGTTGAGCCATTGCTTTGCCTGTTCTGCTAACAATGTCAGAACCTGTTCCCATCTCTGTTCTCTGCGTCCATACCATCCCTGTTTGACTTGGCACCACACATAAGCAGACATGTGAATTTGTAAGGAGAGGAGGAGTTTTTTGGTGTTTGGTTTTTTTAAAGTTCATCATGAACAAAGTATTGCCATATGTTTCAGATACTTTATTTGATATGCTGGACTTTTCAAACTTCCCACTGTTATTTAACTCTATTTTTTAAAGCAGTTGAAGCAATATGAAAAACTGGTCCTATCACCCAGGATTCCTCTCTCTTATCCTTCTTAGACTTTAGATTTAGACTAAATCTTTAGATTTAAAAATACTGAAGGCATTGACACGACCAAAGATGGAGAATAGTACTGATGGCAAAACAGAGAAATTAATGGTTAGGCTTCCTTAAAAAAGAAAGAAACACTTCCAGTTAGTGCATTGTTACGCATGGCAGCTTACTCCATTTTATATTAACACAAGCCTTAGTCAGTGCAGCATGGTGCTTGCCTTAACTAGTTAGGTTTTGAAGTTTAGTACCTGTAAGTTTTTCTTGAAGGTGGTACACATCCATAACTGCATCTGTATCGCTAATTGTATTCAAAGCTCAAGCCGTGTCATTTGAGAGAAACTCAGACTGCCTTCCTAGTTAAGATGAGGGGGAGAGAACGTGAGAAAACCACACACAGACATGGACACAAAAAAAGATGATGTGCATACACTTGTACAAATGTTCCATGTATTTTAAATAGCTTGCACTCGCAGCGAAGACTGACAAGCCCAAGTGAGGTCTGCAGAGCCTGAGAGGCCTCCTGAGCCAGCGACATGATGGCACCCATCAGTATCAGGAAGAGCTTTACAATGACCTCCCTTGTTTTTGGCGAGTGACGTGGGTGCAAGGTGCCAGCACGGTTGCTGTAGCCTGACAGGCTGCCTGCTTGCCTGGGAAGCCTGCCCCAGAGAAGCTGCTCCACACGTTTCTCAGGCTGTTTTTATTCCAGCTCTCCAAGCTGTGGCTGCCTATACAGGTGTGCTTGAACTGTGGAGGAAGGGAAGGCATCCACAAGTCCCTCCGGTGCTCCAGCTCTGTGTGATCCTGTGAACTGTGATGCCAGGGGCAGGTGCTGAGCCAGGGTGCAGTGCCTTTGTATGCCTCAAGAGTGCCTACATCTTGAGATGACAGGAGTGATGTATCTGGATTTTTCCTTTTTTTTGGCCAGGAGCTTCTTTTTGACAGAATGGAAAAAGAGTTTAATCCTTTTCCTGACTTCTCCTTTTTCTTGCTGCTGCTTCACTCACAGCAAGGAAACCAAAAGAGAAGACTAAAGCAGAAAGAGAAAAATAGAGGGGTTTTTAATTTTATGCATTATAAAAGACATAAAGTACTAGTACAAGATACTGCTTTTGTTTTGGGGGAGGGCATGCGGTTCCCTTTGCATAGAAAACAGCAATTTTAAATTGCAAATTTTTACTGTCCTGAGGCATAGTAGTTGATACAGGTGTACTGCAAAGGACTTTCACACGGGTCTTTGCTCTGAAAGATTAACTCTCAAGTGCAGCTTTTGGTGGGAACCCTAAATAAACCAGTGCTTAAAGTCTGCGAGGTGAAGGAGTGTAAGATGGATGAGGTGCACCTTTCTGCTGGGGTGGATGACAGTTGGCTGCTTGGCCAGGAGCACTGGCTCCTGCTCAGCTCAAACTGTGGCAGGCGCCGGTCTCCCAGAAGCCCTGCGGTGCCATCAGTGTTAGCTGTGCCTGCCCTGTCACAGACAAGGGGATATGGCTTCTGCATTGGGTTGCTGGCACATGGAAGGCCAGGCACATCAGGGACCCTGGAGCTGCATCAGGATTCCCCAAGGTGAGGGTCTGTGTCCCTCTGCAGAACAGCTGGCCCCACAGGCCACCAGTGATGCTTCTTTGGTGCAAGAGTATGCCAGAAGCACGGCTTGCTTTCATGCAAGGCATTTTCATCACCATTAAAAAAGGATTTATTTCATTAGTCTGCAAGTTCTTCAGGTGACTGCTGTAACCCTTTAATGCTTTCTTTCTCCAGTGGTTTTGGTGGTTGTATGCTTCTGTTTTCACTGAAGATTAAAGCCTTGCATCATGGAATAGGTGCTGCCAAGTGAGCTGGAGGAGGGCTGTAGATCTTGACACTGGGGAGAGCTATGTGTTGGCATTCCCCCTCTCCCCCACCAGAGATTGTTGTCACATTTAGTAGATCTCTTTAAGTAAACATTTGCTTTGTAAATGACATTGGTTCAGCATATAATGGAATGCAAGGACTGTGCTGGCAATAATTATAAAGGTAGGATGCAAGTGAATTCACGGGGGAGAAAAGACAGGGGAGATATTAAACCTGCATTGCATAATATTTATGTCCCAGCCTTGTGGGTACTGTGATAATGAAGGCCATGTTACATATACTTCACACTTGCTTCTTTCACCACTCCGAGACTATGAGTCCAATTGCTTTGTTGGTGACTTGGTTATCTGTTTCATTTTCAGGGAATAAAAAAGGTCTGTGGAAGTTTATGTAGTGATAAAAAGAACAACAATGGGAGTTTGTTAGGGACAGGACAGGGAGGGGGTGGTTTCAGGATTTTGTCAGGAGTCATTTCTAATTGCAGGATGTTTTTTTAATGAGTAGGCACATGTCCTTTTCCTTGATGTGGAGGGCGAAGACAGTATGGGGAGAACTAAGGCAGGGGGGACGTGAAAAACTCCTAGTGAATATAATATTGCTGACAAAATCCAACTGCTTCACATTCACTCGTGTTTGCTTCTCTGAAACTCATGCTTTGGTTGTGAGCTGGAGCTGTAACCACAAGGAACTGTGTTGAATGAAACTGTGTCACTTGTTGAGTGCAGACTGGATGTGACCTGTCATGCTGCAGAGCTCAAATCCCAGACATTTCAAAGGCAGTAGGCTTGTTTGTTGACATGTTGGCCAGATATTGCTGCTTAGTGTTTATTGCCTGCAGCATAACTGCATTTTCGGTATCTTTGATTTTTTAATGCAAATTTACATTATGTGAGAAACTTCTGTTTAACTGAATTTGGGATTTGAGAAGTTAGGAAAAGCAAGAAATCATAGTAATAACGTGTCAGTAGTAAAAGCGATGCATCTGCCTTTATCTTTGGGGCACAGTGACTGTTAAGGGGTGTATGAGTGCAGAAGTGTTGAATATGTTTCAGGTCTTTCTCCTCTGACCCTCTTTCCCTTCAAGGAGCACTAGTTTTCCTTTTAAAACAGTGTATTTCTCATAACAACTTTGAGAAAAATCAGTGAAAACTAATGGAAAAGACAGTGTAGAGGAAATTCATACACGTGTGTTTCAGCGGTGTGCAGCAGTATGTTTTAAGCAGTAGTTAAGAAGGTGCTATTATTCATTTGCAGCAGCTTGCTACTTACGTCTGATTTAGGCTCTCTTTGTAAGAGGTTTTTTAAAAGTGTCTTTTATTTTAATAGCAGTTTTCAGTAAAAATGAAATGGGTGTAAAGCCATTGAAATATTTTATGTTGGACTATGGGAAGGTTGTCAGAAGGCAGTGGTCTCAGCTGCCACTTCGCTGTCTGCCCACATGGGATGCTTGGATCTCATGTGCTATATCCTTTCAACTTCTAGTGAGCGTAATGGCCAGAAACTGGTAGAAAGTGACTGTGATTAAAATGGCCTTTCTGTGGTCATAAGTTTTTGACATGCTGTGGCTTTGTTTTGCATTTATCAGGTTCATGGTATCATGGGGTAAGAGGAAGGAGGCTGTCCTAACGCAAGAATGCTAGCTGTTAAGCTTGCAGTAGTCAGTAAGTCATTTCTATTTTATTCCTTTCCTTTCCAGGTGTGACATCTGTTGTATTACGTTTCGTACGCATCGGGGCTTACTGCGTCATAATGCAGTTATCCACAAGCAGCTTCCCAGAGATCCCATGGGAAAGCCTTTCATTCAGAACAACCCTTCGATTCCAGCAGGCTTCCATGACTTGGGATTCACGGACTTCTCCTGTAGGAAGTTCCCCCGCATTTCTCAGGTACTTTCTGTTCTTCATAGCTTAAGGTAACAGCTGATAACAGCATGTATCTTCTGAATTCATTGAAAGATGCGTCCTTGATGAGGCAGAGATGGGGTGTAGAATATTTTGTGGAAAGCACATTACCACTCTCCATGTAGGCTTCAAACGCTTTCTGTTTTTCTTCTTTCTTTTTTCATCTAAAGAATATTGGGATTGGGCTGTTGTTTTTTTTCCAACATTCCAGTGGGTAACTGTTGGTGTAAAGATATGTAAAAATATTTTAAATGAAAACTTTAGTGTTGTTAAGTCCTTGCCCCTTCCAGCCTGCCCATTATTTCTCTCCTTCCCAAAACCATCCCACATCTAAAATAAGTAGGGAAGATACATGGTAAGGAAAACATTATTTATTTAATTTCCTGTTAAAAGGATGTAGTTGTGGTGTGAGAGATTTTATCATGAAAAGCTTCAGGAAATCACCTTACTTACTAAATGGCGACATCTTCAGTGATTTCTTCACAAAACAGTCACAGGCACCTTTCCACTATGTTCCTTATGTGAGGTCTGAAGATACTGCATGTTTGAGGGCCAGTGGCTGGGGAAAGGCAGGGAGGTAGTCTGTAAATATTTCTGTGACAGCCATAAAGCTTTCTATTGGATAGTATCATTCCCCTCTTGTATCACACCTTGCCTGCCTTAGTTAGTTTGGGTCTTGAGGAAGCTGTGTATCTATTCAAAAACCCCAAAGAAATAAATCAACAGCACATCCCAGCAGGACCATGCTTATTCAGTGGCTGCACTTTTCTTATTCTACTTGGATTAAAGCACTGATTTCCAGCTCTTCTGGCTTCAAGGTGTTAGACCTGAAATTTGGTAAATAATTCTCAAGTAGAGTTTTGGTGTAGAAGTTACTAAATCAGGGCAGGAGATAACTTTTTAAACAACTTGGGTTTATTTCGTTCGTTATTAGTGGCAGACATTTAACATTATTAAGGGTTTCAAATGTTGTGACTTTCCTTTTGTAACAATTTTGCTTGCACTGTGAGGCAAGACCTATGAAGTATCTGAACGAAGTGTGTAGAGTGTATAAAGATCTTTCCAGCCCTCAATTTATCGCTTGTGTTCCTCTTTGATGGGGAACCTCTGCAACATGTGAGCTGTGTGGGTAGCATTTAAACGCAGCATTTGGGTTCATGATCCTTTTCAGCGACAGGTATAAAATCTGTTTGTGAGCCTAGTATTTTCCTTTGGAGAATAAATATGATTAGACTTCACTAACCAAAAGCCTTTGCACTTTGGGCTCTTTGTTTCATTGATTTGTTTTAAGGTGTTATTATTTTGATTGGTTTATGTTATTTTGCCTTCTTGGATGCCTTTTTTTAAATCCTTCTAGTTTCTTTGTAGTAGTAAAACTAAAGGAGGTAGTCTCAATGAAGTTTGCTGTTTAGTCCACTGAGGCTCCTGTCCTGTCAGAGAAGCGAGAGAGGTTTCTGGAGGGGAAGTTAAGGGTGGAAAAGTATTTGAGAGTCTGAATAACTCTCTGGAGTAGTTTGCCTCTATAGAAAGGAGCTTCTGGAGGATCAGCACCTAATTCAGATACACCACTTAGGTGACTAAAGGCTGTGGAGCAGGAATGTCTCCATGCCTCCTTAACTTGGGCAGTGGAAGAGGGAGTAAACTGGTTTTGTTTTGCAGAAGCATGTGGTGCCTTTCCAGTTTGAGATATCTACTCTAAATATTTTTGCATGTCTTGCAGGTCTGGTGTGAAACAAATTTGCGAAGGTGCATCAGTGACTTCCATAGATTTATTTGTGAGCTGTGTAACAAGGCATTCCCCATGCTTTCGGCACTCAAACTGCACACAGAAACTCATGTATTGGATCAGGGAAGAGACAAGCACAAGCAACAGTCCATGATCCTGCCTGGTGAGAACCCAGACCAGAAAGCCTTCATGGCATCCTTGGGCCTACAGTACACCAAAGACATCAAGCCTGTCAAGCAGGAGGACAATACACAAGATGAGGTCCAAGAAATGCGGCTCAGAGCACTGAAGAGTAACCTACCTCAGGAACCCGGCAGCACCAGTCTGCTCAGCCTCTCTCCTCTGGAAGCTGCCTCGATGGGAGGGTCATTTTCAGTCCTTCCCCCTACAAAAGAGAACATAAAGCTTCTCTCGCTGCAGCCTTTCCAGAAGGGTTTTATCATCCAGCCTGACAGCAGTATTGTGGTAAAACCCATCTCCAGTGAGTCTGCCATTGAGCTGGCAGACATTCAGCAGATCTTGAAGATGGCTTCTTCCGCTCCTCCTCAGATCAGTCTTCCTCCCCTTTCTAAGGCACCTTCTGCCCCTGTGCAGTCTATTTTCAAGCATATGCCGCCACTGAAGCCAAAGCCTTTGGTAACGCCCCGAACAGTCGTCGCAACCTCTACACCTCCTCCCCTTATCAGCGCCCAGCAAGCCTCCCCTGGCTGCATCAGCCCGAGCCTCCCACCTCCCCCTCTGAGGCTGATCAAGAGCTCAGTGGAGTCCTCCTCCAACTCTCACCTACCCCAGCCAGGAGCCAGATCGAGCCCTTCCTCGCAGTTGCTCCTCCAACCCAAAGTAGAGCCTTTAACTCAGCATGAGATGAAGACACAACTGGAGCAGGACAGCATCATCGAAGCTCTCCTGCCTCTGAGCATGGAAGCCAAGATCAAGCAAGAGGTCACAGAAGGAGACCTCAAAGCCATCATTGCAGGGGCAGCAAACAAGAAAGCCCCAACCATGAGAAAAGTTTTGTATCCCTGCCGTTTTTGTGACCAGGTGTTTGCCTTCTCTGGTGTCCTGAGAGCTCACATCCGTTCTCACTTGGGTATTTCCCCATACCAGTGCAACATCTGTGACTACATTGCAGCTGACAAGGCAGCGCTGATCCGACACCTGCGGACACACAGCGGGGAGAGGCCTTACATCTGTAAAATCTGCCACTACCCATTCACAGTGAAAGCCAATTGTGAGAGGCACCTGCGAAAGAAGCACTTCAAAGTGACCAGGAAGGATATAGAAAAGAACATTGAATATGTCACCAGCAATGCTGCAGAGATGGTGGATGCCTTCTGCTCCCCAGACACTGTATGCAAGCTGTGCGGTGAGGACCTGAAGCATTACCGAGCCCTCCGCATTCACATGAGGACGCACAGCGGCTGCCAGAAGAAGAAGCCGTTTGAGTGCAAGGAGTGTGGCACAGCCTTTTCGGCCAAGAGAAACTGCATTCACCATATCCTCAAGCAGCACTTGCATGTGCAAGAAAGGGAAATTGAGAATTACATCTTAGCGGTGGACTGCAGTGCCCAGGCAAGCCAGGCAGACCCTTCTTTATTGGAGGACAGCACTTACATGGACCACAAGACCATGACGCCTTTCCTGGAGCCACAGAATGGCTTCTTGCTTGGGACATCGTCTCATGTTCCCATCAAACTTGAACCTGCAGGTAGCTTTCCAATGGATTTTGATGAGCCATTGGATTTCTCTCAGAAGAGCAGAAGCCTGAGTGCTGTGCAAGTGAAGCAGGAGAACCTGTTTGGCTCTTCTCCTGTGTCCTTCTATGACTGTTCCATGGAGCCTATTGACCTGTCCATCCCCAAAGTCCTGAAGAAGGATAAAGATGATGTCCCATATGAAGCTAGGAGCCAAGAGCTGGCTGCTTCTGGGAACAGTGATAAAGCCTACAACTGTCTGCAGTGTCCTTTGGTTTTTGGTGCCAATGGGAACTCAGAGAACAACAGGGGTGTCAGACATACCCAGCCACTGAAAGGTTCATTGCATTTGACTGTCCCAATCATTTCCCCGGCTCTCCTTGGCAATTCTGCCTTGCTGAGACCCTTGAGGCCTAAACCACCACCTCCACCTCTCTTGCCAAAGCCTCCAGTAACTAAAGAGCTGCCACCGCTAGCTTCCATTGCACAGATCATTTCATCTGTGTCTTCTGCTCCCTCTTTGCTGAAAACGGAGGCTGAAGACACTGGTCCTAAGGCAGTGAGCAGCTCCACTGGGTGTGACAAATCAGGGAACGCCAAAGCAAAAGTGACAATCACGACCGCCGTGCAGAGAGACTCCAGCCTGCCCAGTGACCTGGCTCAGGCACGTGATCCAGAGCTGTCTCCCGTTGCCGAACCTGTGTTGACTAAGAGAAGAGGTAGAAAGAAAGGAACAAAAAATAAGCCTAAATTTAGCAGTGGTCTGGATCTGGAGTCAAGTGGGGAATTTGCCAGCATAGAGAAGATGCTGGCTACCACAGACGCTAATAAATTCAGCCCGTTTCTGCAGTCCACTGACAATTTCAAGGAAGAAAGCCGCAGAAATGGAACAAATGAGGATGAGAAGGCCACTGCTGAAGACAAGCTGCTGAGAGGGAAGAGGAATGCTTACTCAGACTGCCTGCAAAATATCCCCTGTCCTTACTGTCCTCAAGTCTTTCCATGGGTAAATTCCCTACAGCAGCACATACTCACTCATACAGGTAAGAGCGCCTTGTGCTCATAGTGGATCGTAAGCCTCTGAGAGTATTCCTTATGGAAGGCTCTCCTTGTGGAGTGATGTTCATTTCTTGTCCTCTCTTTGATGTTTGAATGGTATTCTTGGTTATTTTGGAAATCCCTAGCCAATGCTTTATAGTGATGATGGTACATTTTTTAGTAATGGAATAATCTCTGTGCCTTTGAGTATCAAGGAGGCAAATTAAACTGCTAAAATCCATCTGACTTCAGTGGCATAACTTGGCGTACCTGCGTTTGCTAAGACTCTAGTTTCAGATGTTCTGTTATTGCTATCTTATCTTGAAGGTGAGCATGCATGTTGAATATTTCACTGTACTTTACACGGTTTGTTTGGCTGGTTCCAGCAGCTGTTTGTCTGCATCAGTAATGATAAAAAGATCCATAAATATGAGAACAAATAAGTATAGAATTATGGCAGGAAAATAAAATAATACTGTATTTAGCTTTTTCCTTTTTTTTTAATTACAGTGGCTTTTATTTGACAGATCAAAGAAGGAGGATGCAAGAAGCATCATCTTGATCATTACATAGTAGCTAGCCTCTAGGAAATGTTTGTTTGCAGTGCTAAACAACTAAAGGTGGGCTTTTGCCCTAGAGCATAGAGATGTGTGTGGAGTCTTTAATACTGTGCCACTGTGTAAGTAACCTCAAACCTGGTGTAAACCAAAGGAGGAATTGGGAAGCAGATTTACACTAGGTTTGGGGTTATTTCTCATTCTTCCCTGTAGAGGAAATACTTTGTTGAATGCTGTGCCGATTTGAAGTTCACTCCTTTTTCCACCCACACTGTAATAAAGTAATTAGTAGATTCTCATCCTGCTGGGAGAGAGAGGAAGGACAAAGCTCTGCTTGCTGTTGCTCCCTTTTAAGTCAGTCACAGCTGTTGATACTATTTACTTCATTATGCAATCTCAACTCCTGGTGTAAAGGATAGAAGCTGGGGATATTTGTGAGAAACATAGGTGAGCTGACCACAGCCTCATAAAACATAATTTCATTTTTTGGAAGGTATAGAGGTTTCCTGAAGCAACTGATTCATGTCTGTGCTAAGAGGGAAACCTGCTGAAGAGGTAAAATAGGCTAGCTAAGAGGTTTAAAGGCAATCTGAGCTGTGGAGCAGTACAGTTTGCCTTGGGTGATGTGAGGACATAACTTGCAAGGTATCAGTGCAACAGTGAGGCTATTGTTTTCTGGCCCACAGAGACCAAGTTGTTTCATCTTATTTAGCATACAATTTACTTTCAGGGTGAAGGAGGGCTCTTTATTTGTATCAGTTGTTTTCTAACAGCCTGCTCCAAAACAAATACATAGTTATTGAAGAACTGTTCATGAGACAGAAAACAATAGAGAGGCTTTTCCCGAACTTAAGAGGTTTGACCTGCTTATTGATGGCAGACTTCCAAGGGTAGCAGCACTGGTGCAAACCCTTACTGAATGCAGGAAAATGCATTTGGACATGAGTTATACTGGTAAAACTTGTCTCCCCTACAATCACTGGCCTTGGAAGGAGACACTGTCCCTTCAGAAGGCCTGTGCTGCAGGCCCCACAAGGAAAGCAAGGGCTGGTTCCTCAGTGCAGATGCAAGATTTTTGGTGATGCTACAGCAGTGGCTATAATCAGATTCCAGTTGGTGTGTTCTGGCAATGATAATACTCAGCTCTTTCCTAATCATGATCAGTGTTCAGGGAGACTTGTTGGATGACCACGCCACAGCAAGCTTTGACTGGCATCTCCTTCCAGGTGACACCAGCACTCTGTTTCTAAACTCTGGGAGTTTGCAGCAGCTCCACTGTGACAGCAGTGTAAATGAGACTTACTGGAAGGAAAAAGGGAAAGGTAAGCAGGGAATGTAGAGATTTATGGAGGTGATGCCAAAGCAAGCACTAGGATGCATTCAGGTGGAGTGAGCACTGTGTTTTTGTGGTGAGTGTCAGGGGCTGGTGGCATGGGAGGAGTTTGGCAGCTGTGGGATACATGCAGCAATTTGTTGGGCTTTGTTCAGGGCTGGGTGAGTTGTTCTTCTGATGGAGACATCTACAGTGTCTTAGTGCAATGCACCGTTTCTATCCCCACCTGTTGCACAGGCAGTGACTTGTTAGATAGCTCTGTTATTTCAGAGGAGTTAATTAAAAATGCTATTCACTAATCTTATTGTAAAAAGAAAAGGAGAACTTTGTTGTCTGGGCTTGATAGCTGCTCCCTTGACCTGGGGAGAGAAGGGGCCAAGAGGCTGATGTGGGTGGGATAGATGAGAGTCCTGGTGATCTGCTTAAAGAATTCATGTGTTTGGTGTCTGCTCCATAGGGAATCACTGCAGCCAAGTTGGTCCATGCTCCTAGATTTATGTAGTACTCTGTTATAAAAAAACAAGGCAGTCATTTGAGCAAAAAAGTGGCAACTAGCGCTTCTCCATCCATTTGTAAGAAAGTTGGAGTAATCTATGTAAGTGGCCTATGTAAGTGGTGAGCATGGTTGAGGAAAAGTTATTTATTTTGAGCATTTAAGTAGTATCTATGTATTACCAGTCAGTTTTGACATGGAAGACCCCTTCCAAGCAGTGTCAAGGTCATATTTGCCTTCTGTGAAACTGCAAATCCACACATGCTACTGGCAATCTGTGTCTTTTGCACAACCAGAAGGCACTCTCGTGAAAGTTTTCACCCTGCTTATTCTTGCCTCAATACCACTGTGTGTATTTTAGTTCAAAAGCATTTCCCTGAAGAAGCACACACCTTCCTCACTGGTTTTTATTTTAATGCAGAGCTCACAAGTGGGGCACTGGGAATTTTGCATAGCTTGGATTTATACAGTATTTAGCACAGTACCTGTGTTTTGTTTGAACATGCTTGAACACTTGCTTGTAATGCGTTCTTTCTCTTGATGTCCTTATTGTTTAATTTACTCTTCTATGTTCAGCTTGGTTTGCCTTTCTTTTTTGCATTTGCCTCCTGCTCTTTACTCATTCTCAGAGCATCAAGTAAAATGTGCCCTGGAGGTGTTGTAGTTAACTTTGCTCTTTTTGTGGCATGTGCATCAGAGCAGGTTCAATATAAAATGTTAGAAATAATCTTTTTTTGACCATTAGTTTGTTACAAGTAACCTAAATCTGCAAAGAATCGCTTAAGGATATTTTCAGAGTGATAAATATTTGGCTCAGGTTTATTTTATGTAGAAAGTGGCAGAGGAGAATTTTTTGTTGTTTGTTTTTGTTTTATTTTGCAGTTACAACAGACATGAATTGGACAAGAAAAGATTTATAAAGAAAATAAAGTAATAAATAAATAGAATACAGTTATAGCAGCCCATGAACCTGAATGTTTCCAGTTGATTGGAGAACATAAGTCATAACAAAAAAGGGCTGGAGGCATTTTTATCTTTGCTTTTATGGCATAAGCTAAAGTGGAATGGTAGACATCTTAACTTTGCAGCATTTGTCCTTACCATGGCAATAATGTGTTTCCACTAGGAAAAGAGTGGCAGGAGGTATCTTAATTAAGGGATGATCTTCTTACATGCAGTGATTTAGATCACCTTTTACATTGAAAAAGACTCCCTTCCAATGACTGTTTTCCATGACGTGCCCAGCCTAGACTAGTCCTGCTATGCTAACCAAGTTTTACAGTTGATTTTGAGTCAATATCTAGGCACAGATGTATTCTAATCCAGCCCATGACCATTCTTACAGAAGAAGCTAATAAAAAATCAAGTCACATTGCACTTAAACTGACTGTTCTGGTTACCCTCCAGTGAGCAAATATAATTTATCAGAAGAACAGTTGCCTTTAAGGGACAATACAGGAAGCAGAAAATTATCTTTTTTTTGTGCCTTTAAAGGTGACATTTTTGGAAAGAGGTCTCACCCCCATTTGGGAATAGGACTGCAACTTGGGGTGGGAGGATTGGAGTTTGCACAGTAAGCAGGATTTTTGTTTGTGTTTTGAGACTTCCAATTAGGACATCTGTGTGGAAAGGATATCTTATCTGTTCTAAGTATTGGTCTGTACGACAAATACTTGGTTGATAGGAAAGTTTTAAAGGCTGAAAATATGAGAAAATTGTGACGTGAGATGCGGGTTGAGTTTCAAGTAATTAATCCCCAGCTAATCCTGTCATTGCATGCTTGAAAAGAAATGTGGAAAGGAATTGGGCTATCATGAAGCAAAAGGGTTTCTGCTCAACTTTGAAGTTCTGTTTTGTATTTGCATTGTGAATGTAGCCAAATAAAAGTGCAGAAAGTGGTGGTGTTTGTAACCATAAATTTATGGTTGACTTAGCAGGCAACTAAAAAGAAAGAGTGACTTGAAAGTATGCAAAAAGCAGTGCCCTAATGCTTCTAAAAAGTTCTACTGGCGGTGGAAGAAAATTAAGAGAAAGAAACGGCACCTGAGGTGTCTGTGTGATGCAGGGAATCCCTCATATGGGCTGAGATTTTAATTAGAACAGAGCCAGCTTGTGGAAGATTAAAGTGAGAAAAACAGTGGTGTATCAAAGCGGCTGCTGGCTGGGAGGGGATGTGCAAGGAGGTGTGTGCACATGTGTGGGTGCATGTAGGGGGCTGTTCAGAGGTTTTGGGTGTGAGGTAGAAGGTGTGAAAAGCACTGATCTCCTTTTACGTGTAGCTGTCCTCACAATCTCTGTGTTCATCACAAAGATGTCTTGCAGGACTGCTTTCCTCATTGCACTGCATGATCCTGGCTTTTCTTTCAACTATTCCTGTGCTGTTAGTTCCCTTGTTCTAGTCGTTTAAATGAATTACAGATGTGAAAAGCCTTCTCCTGTGTGGAAGTAATTGAAGTAATTGATTTCTTATTTGACATACGGGGCTTGGTTCCACTGAAGTCAATGAAAAGATGCCCCATGGCTTTGTTGGAAGTTGTTTCAGATTCACATGGGTGATAGAAGTCTCAGGAGAGAGCCTCCTGTTGACAAGCTTGCAGTCAGGATGTTATAGTTGGTCGCTAA